TACAGATAAATAAGTTACAATACACAATATGAACGTGCATCGATCCGTTCTCTATCAACCACACAACTCTTCACCATTCTCTACATTTCATTCATCCAGCATCGGTCACGTTTACGTTTCCTCGGGTTAACTATATTTACAACTATATTGGAACACATTGGATAAAACACATTGTATGTATCACATCAACCAGCTGCAAATTAAGACTTCAAAGTTGACTTGTGTTAATGTGCTTCTTCACCACACACACCGCAGAGCAGACACACACACCGCAGAGCAGACACACACACCGAAGAGCAGACACACACACCGCAGAGCAGACACACACACCGCAGAGCAGACACACACACCGCAGATTAGACACACACACCGCAAAGCAGACACATACACCGCAAAGCACACACACACACCGCAGAGCAGACACACACACCGCAAAGCACACACACACACCGCAGAGCAGACACACACACCGCAGAGCAGACACACACACCGCAGAGCAGACACACACACACCGCAGAGCAGACCGAGCCAGTTCTGGGGCCGCGGCTCAAACCGGAGGAGACAGGCATCACCTCTGCAGCCGGAGCGTTTGTGAAAGCCATAAATGCCTCTTTAATATAGTGGTAATCAGCCTGGTAATTTGGCTGCAATTGTCCCTTATTGTTGCCAGACATGCCTCTCTTTTTTCGCTCCCTGCACGCACGCACACACACACACACACACACACACACACGAACGCACAACCACCACCACCTCCACCGCTCGCTCTGGGCCAGACGGTGCGTTCGCGTGCTAATTCACACCACATGCCAACGAGCTGGGCGGCTGCTGCGCCCGGGTCAAATGGGAGAAAAATGGGAGAATAAAGGAGAAAGAGAGGGAGAGGGGGAGAAAGAGAGAAAGTTAGTAAAAGAGAGATAGGGAGTTAGGGAAATAGGGAGAGAGGTACAGAGAAAGAGGGAGATGGAGGGAGACGAGAGAAAGACAGATAAAGAGTTAGAAAAAAAGAATTGTTGGGAGAGAGGGAGGGAGACTGGACAGAGAGAGAGGGAGATAGAGAGTGGAGAGAGATAGAGGAAGAGATAGAGTGGAGAGAGAGAGAGAGGAAGAGAGAGAGAGGGAGAGAGGAAGAGATAGAGAGTGGAGAGAGAGGGAGGGAGAGAGCGAGATAGAGAGTGGAGAGAGAGGGAGGGAGGAGAGAGAGAGAGAGTGAGATAGAGAGTGGAGAGAGAGGGAAAGAGAGCGAGATTAAGAGTGGAGAGACAGAGGGAGGGAGACGAGAGAGAGATAGAGAGTGGATAGAGAGAGAGAGAGAGAGAGCTAGAGAGTGGAGAGAGAGAGGGAGTGGTCCGATGTGTGTGTTTTTTTTTTTAATTTGAGTGTGAAATGCCGCATTCTTGTGTGTCTGAAAAGCGGCGTGTTTTAATTGCGGCCTCAGCAGAAACTATCGCGGCTTTTACACATGGTTCTCATCAGCGCGCACAGGCCGCCTCTGTCTGCGGCCACAGCCATCCACGGCTTTTTTTTTTTTACAATTGGGCATAACTTATAACGTTGCGGATGATAAATGCAATGTGTGAGTTTTGACTTTTCTCCAAGCTTAACTAAACTACAGTGATTGAAACATCCTTCTATTGCTCCATTCATCCATTCATACCTGCAGTTACTCTAAGGATGCGATGTATGTGCAATTTCTGGTTCAAGTCACAGGTCTATTTATTTTTGAACAGGACTAAATCACAGCAGCAGTCATTGCGGGAGGACTTTACAAAGTTGTGGATTCACCAACAGCAGATCAGAGATTTGGGGTTTGGCAGTAAAAGTTCTGACTTCAGCCTAAACCCCTTTCGGTCAAGTTTTATGCATTTTGTTCTTATTGTAAAATGTATAAGATCTTTCAAAACATGTGACCTAAGATCCAATGTTCGTTATGACCAAAGAATGGTTTGGGTTAGGGTTAAACTATTACTACTACAACAACAAAAACACAACAAAATAATAACAAACACATAGGAGCCCTTGGTCCATGGGGAGCGGGATGACCACTGTCCATAGTGGTATAAATAAATATTAATAAATGTTCTAAAAGGTACTCTGTGTAATTTTTACAGTTAATATAAAAACATGTTAACCAATAACAAATGAGACCTTTTTAAGAATATTTACCTCCACCATGTTTTTGAATTGTTCTCAAAGGCTTAGAATTTGACTTAAAAATGTCCATGAGAGCTGAGGGACTCTCCGTGTCAGTGCGCCATCTTGAACTACAGTGGTGGATAAGGGACAAAAGAAGGAGTTTGAGCGGGAGTTGGGGATCACTGTCAAAGACGACATATTGTCCTGCGAAGCTATCGTAGTATTTTAGATTACAATATATGATCTCAATGCTAGGTGGGAGTAAAAACTACACAGTGTACCTTTAAATGTCCTGGATCATCACAGACCATAGACCCTCCTGCATGGGCAAAAAAATACACAAAAAATCTGATCTAGATCTATAGATGTTTTTTTTTTTTTTTTGTGTGTTATTGATTACTTATTTTGACTTAGTATCTGATCTATGCCTTATCTGTGTTTAATATTATTGCAATTAATGAATTAATGCTTGGTTTATTATCATTATCTTTTTGTACGTTCGTCTTAACTGGGACTCCAGGAAGATTAGCAGCCACATTGGTGCAAGCTAATGTGGATCCCCAATAAACATTGAACAATAAACAATGATGAAGTTACATAGAAAATAACTATGAGTAACACCATTGGTAGTAGAAGTATTTTAAATATATATAGCTCATGTACTGTAGCTCTAAATCACAGCAACAGTCGACTCAGAGGACTTCACAAAGTTATCAATCAATCCACGTTTTTTTGTAGAGCGCCTTTCCTACACAAGGCAACACAAAGCGCCCCACAACCCGCATCATATCCAGCAAATCATAAACATTCAAATCTACATATACATAAAAACACAAGTTATCAATCCGCCAAAAACAGATCAGAGAATCAATCAGAGGAAATGCATGAATAACAAACACACATGAGCCATCGGTCCATGGGGAGCGGGACGACCACTGTCCTTAAATGTTAATAAAACTAACATAACCACATAAGCCGGCTTTACATGTTTAGGTCTTGTACACAGCTCGCAATTAGCTGATAAAACATTTTCTTTTCTATTTTTTCAAAAACAACAACCGATTTTATGAAGCAATTTGGTGCGTTAGTTAAGAAAGCATTTATTTGGCCTTCACCGCATGGTTGAGCAAGAAGTCCCGGCTTGTAGGCAGTTAATTTGGTCTTTCTCTCACACACACACGCACGCACACACACACACACACACACACACACACACACACACACACACATAGATCAATATTTACAGAGAACTTTTCCTCTCCGAGTCAGAGGAAGCAAATGTGTATCCTGCGGTTGCTCTTACAGTAAACCAGGCTTTTGTTGAACGCAACGTTTTTTTGTTTGTTTTCGGAAAAAGTTGAGCCACGTTCACACAAAAAAAAAAATGCTGAGGTCACGGAGGAGTCAGGCGAGGTGTGAAATGAGCCAACAAACAGGACACAGTTTCGGTAACATGACAAAGCGGAGAAATATGCCACTTCAGAACAGTGGGAAAGCTTAGTGATTTAATGGCGTTGGCTTTAGACTACTACTACAATGGCACATCATTCAAAACAGCCGTCTGCTCCGTCATATCTGAGAGATTTATTACCCTGACAATGAACCGTGGTTAGTCTGCTATCATTAGGCTTTTGCTTTTCAATGAATTCAACTGCACGTGCCTTTCGCTTTTGCTTCTCAGGCAGGTCTGGGATCATGCTGTAAACATACTGTTATATTACTGCGTTTTTCACTATCATAAAGGTCTAGAAATGTGTTTGAAAAGATGGAAAAATTTTGGCTAAAACTGTCAAAATCAGAGCAGTGTGACAAAATACTGCTGTTGAAATGTATGGAGTTGTTAAAGCTGGGGTACGTAACTTTATTTTTGTTGTTTGTCACTTGAGAAAGAAGTCAAAGGTCAAATGTTATGAAGAAGTCAGACCCCGACAGGCTGCTTTTATCTCATAGTAAACATGTTCCAGTTTGCATACTTGCATGAAAAAGCCCTGAGAGTCACTATTTGACACTTTAGGCTGAGAGCTGATTGAGGTTGGTCCTCTTTTTTCACTTTTCTGTCTGAAAAAAGCTGATCTAAAGTTGTAACAGAGGCCAAAAATACATGAATGTGAAAACTAATGATAGAACTAAAGAACCAAAATAAACCTGTTTGAGAGCTGCAGGGACTAGTGACCTGGATTTGAAAACGTCTTAGTGGTTTGAAAGTTAGGTACCCCAGCTTTAAAAACTAGAGAAAACTGTTAATGTATCAAAAATCATCATCTCAGTATTGTATCCAAGTGATCCTAATATTTCCATCCCAATCACATCTGTGCTGAACGCTTCATACTCCTAGTCTTCAATACACTGCAAAAAATACTAAAATAAGATAATTAACAGTCGAGTGGTTTTTATCTTTTTTTGAGTACATTCTGACGGCCTTTCAACAAGATTTGCAAATGGGACTTATTTCAACAACTGCTCGAGGGAGACTTGGACTTGTGTCTTTTTCAAACAAGATAATTTAGCTTTGTCCCATTGGCAAATCTTGTTTCAAGGCAGTCTAAATATGCACAAATTAAGATACATTTAGCCAAATTCAAGCAATTTTTGACTTATTTTTGCAGTAAATGTGGACGATACATGGATATAATTTGCAAATATGTGTACTTCCACTTCATATATTGGAATTTCCTGTATTTATTTCTACATATATGCTGTGTATTATTATGCCTATTGTTTTTGACTGTTTCTATTGCTTTATGCCGACTGTGCAGTGCTTTGTAAACACTGTTTTTGAAAAGTGCCATACAAATAAAGATGTATTATTATTATTACGACTTAAGCATGATTATTAAGTGTGTTGTGTTTGTGTGTTTGTGCAGGCGTTACAGGCGGCCCGACAGTTCCTCCTGCAGCAGGCCTCGGGACTCAACTCTCCGAGCAGCACTGAAATCAAGCAGAGCCCTGTGCAGGTACCACTACTGCACCTGTCGCTTTCCCCGCCTTCAAAATCCTCCGTGAAGTTTCAATGTTTGCGAAAAAAAAAAAATCTAAACATCTTATCCCCCAAAGTAACACAACCCCTGTGCTGCCTCTCGCTCTGTTTGTGACACACATGGACGCACACTAACCCTGAAACTTGCGTGTTGTGTGGATTCTCTCCTGAATGCGTCCTTTGTTTTTGGGCGGTGGGTTTTTCGGGGCTGGATTCCAGAGTGATTCTTCATTATTTGAAGTCTTTAGTTGCGCCAAAAACTTCAAATAATGTGCGCCTTTTTGCTGCGTCCAAAGAATTGGTCCATTATTGTTCGATGCTGACCAAGTTGAATGATCACAGACGACATTGTGCTCCTGTCTCCAGCATCTTTAAGTGATAATAATGAAGCAGCCGATCCTGGTCGTGGGCTACATGTATGTTTATTATTGCAAGAAAAAAATCAATTTCACATTACAGATTAAGGAAAAAATGCAGACTTTCATATACAATACATATACAACTTTGGCAGTGAAAATGTAGAAAGAAAGAGAGGGAGAGATAGAAAGAGAGGGAAAGAGAGATAGAGAGAGGTGAGGGAGGTAGGGAGAGAAAGAGAGACAGAGACAGAAAGACAGAGAGAGTGAGACACAGTTGTACAATATAAATACAACTTTGGCAGTGAAAAGGGGAAACGTTTGAGCAATGTCTATAGTCTTTTATAAAGGATGTTGTTTGTCCCAACCAATCTCTGGGTTTCCAAGATGTCTGCCCGTTCAAATCAATGTCTATGCTCATTTTCTGAAAGCTAGTAGGTCTACTGAGGACCAACTGTTTTAGTGAACATTGAGGTCTATGGGAAAATCTCCTTACAGCCGTGTGGATTTAGGCTGCAGTACCACAGGTGGCCTCATGTATAATTCAGATAATATAAAACAGCCATGGCCCAATCAGAAACGACAGAAAGATGTCACTATTTGGGTTGAGATTAATGGCTCAGTGGTCTTTTCTCATTCCAAGGAAGACTTTTCTTGTATCTTTTTGAAACAATATAATATAGTTTTGCCCCACTGGCAAATTTTGTTTTAAGGCAGTCAAAATGTGCTCAATTTAAGATTCATTTTGCCAAATTTGAGCCATTTTTTACTTATTTTCCACCACTTTTTGCAGTGTGGAACTAAACCAAGTCCATACACACACGCACACACACACACACACACACACACACGCACTGCAGTAAACATAATTCTTGTTATTCATGATTTCAATCCAAATAACTCTCTTTCATAAACTGGCAAATCTATTCAAGAAAATCTCGTTAACCTAATTCAAGCATTGACTATACAACTATTTACCGGAGAAACATTAATTCCCTCTGACTGGACTCAAAGCGGAATGTTATTAATTAGCTATTTACACATAATATCCTCGTCAGTATCGGGTGAATGGCATAAACAGCCTTTCAGCCGCGTGTCAAGAGCCAGCCTGACACCCAAACATCCGCTCCTTATTATACTGTATACAAAAAAATTGAAAATTAAAAGATGCCAGCGCGTCCTTGTGCGCCTATGCACAAATAAACTCATGGCAGTGTTGGCGTCTCTTCTCCCTGACCCGACCCCATAGAGGAGGTTACATATTTGTGAACGGTTTTTGAATGGGAGACAACAGAGTTTACGCGACGTTGGGAGGGAGGCAGAAGGAAAAATGTGACATTGAATTAACCTGAGGCGCATTTGAGCGTTTGTGCAAGAATTTGGCGGTCAATGGCGGCATGTTTTAATGTGGGTTTGAGGGAGAGGAAGCTAATAGTGTGGTGGAGTAGATACAGTAGGATTTAGATTCAGAAATCAGATTGTGTGGGTGTTATATGGTTTCTACTAGCCTGGTCGTACCACACCATAGTACAAATTACATTTCGTACTAAGGTCTGGAGGTGCTCCCCTTAGCTCCGTGAACAGGTGGGAGGGGTTCACTCCTTTTGCAGATTGAAACGATTGGATCTTAGTTTACTGTGACGTATGTAATGAGCCCGAGTGAGTCGTTAGCATTTAGCATTTAGCCTAGCCATCTCCTTTGTCGCTAAAGAAGCACGTGGGGAGTTTTGCCAGCGATTACATTTGCTAAACCCTCTTGCTCCAGATTCAATTTCTTGATAGAACCAGACCGGAATACTTTACTATCGCATTCTTCGCCACTGCCAAACAACAACCTGCCCGTTCGACGCAAACTCTTGACGTCACCCACAACTAACTACAACACCCGCCTCCCGCGCTCGCTGATTGGTCGGATGGAGCCCTGTGAGTCACTATTTGACTCTTTGGGCTGAGAGCAGAGTGAAAGTGGTCCTCTCTGTTTTTTATATTTCTGTCTGAAAAAGCTGATCCAAGGATGTGACCGAGCCCTAAAAATACAGTACATGCAAATAAAGACTAACAAGAACTAGTGACTTCATCACATGTGTCATAGCTTGAAGGCCATGAAAACCAATTCCTTTCCAGTTGTTTTGCCGGATGTCCACTTTATCAAACCCCTACAACATAATCCAAAAGCATTACCTCGTTTTTGACTGCGGTAATTTTCCGGTCATTTTCCGCGAGGTTGTAAAGCGACTGTACAGTGACACGCCGGGCACAAAATGTCCGCCCGTCAGGTTAGCTTCCCGCTGCTCTGCTCTCACAAATGCAAATGAGCCCAGCCAATAATAAGATCTTTAGGAGGTTGATAATTAGATTTTTTCCCCCCTTTTTTCCTCAGAGGGAGAGACAGCGAGAAAAAAACTAGACTTTTCTTTCTTTCTTTCCGTGCTGTCAAGTCGACTACCACCCCCATCCGACACCTCTTTTTATTTTTTTATTATACATTTCTTTTCTTTCTGTACAGTGGAGCGGTTGAAATAGTGAGATATGATCGGCTTTTTTTGATTGGTTGTTCAGAAATAGTGCGATGGTATCTCGCCATTGTCATTTCTACTGTCACGGCGCGCGTTGAATTGAAGGGGTTTTCAATCGGAGGTGCGGGGGACAGTGGGTGCTATGCTGGATTATAGTAGGTCGTGTTGCGTGGTCCAGGTTTAGACCCGGGTTGAGGCCGAGTCAGAGCCCTGGTGTTTGTTTGGGTGTTGGTGGATTACTGTAAAACATAAAAATAGCGTAAAATAATAAGGAAATATAAGTGCTTGCTTGGATATGTTGCCGCAAAGTACAAAAATAAATAAAAAGGCAACATACATTATACCCAGTTTTATACCTAAATGTATAGGGCTTAATAATCTGTATGTGCCAATCAAAAAAATCCAGGACAGTTTCGATACCATGACCTGGCTGTATAGAAAAACCCAATATTTCTTTGTACATTTCTTCTCTTACTTATTTCTGTCATTGATTTTAGTAGTCTATCTGTTTCTATCTGTTTTTACATCATATTTCAGATTTTTTTTCTTCACTAGCTACAGGAATTGGGTTATTTATGAATCAACATACGGTGGCTGAGTGGATAGCACTCTCGCCTCTCAGCAAGAAGGTCCTGGGTTCGAATCCCGGTTGGACCAGGGCCTTTCTGAGTGGAATTTGCATGTTCTCCCTGTGTCTGCGTAGGTTTCCTCCGGGTGCTCCGATTTCCCCTACCACTAAAAATATGTACAGTAGGTCTGGCATGTGCCTCCACTGGCACCCCCACTCCCAAAAATCACAATTGTAAACCGCTTTGAGACTCCGATGTGCAGTGAAAAGGCGGTGTATAAATAAATAAAGATTACTTACTTACATAGAGAATACAGTTTTGATATTGTGTCGTACAAATCCCTACCATGGAGTATGAGACACACAACAAGCAAAAAATACACACATACAGACACAAGCAACACACACACACACACACACACACACACTCACATACACACACACACACAAACACTCTGCTGTCTTTAATATGTTTTGAGAAAATATCATCAAATGCAAAGTACCATGACCTTATTCAAATCCAATTTTTTTCAGTTTCAAGTTGAGCAAATCTGGTCAACTTTCGGCCATACTGTATTTTGGTTCATTTTGGTGACATTCTCGACCTCGTCTTTGCACACGTTGTCTCCGTTTCCCGTTGTTGTGTCACACGCTGTCACTTTGGCACAGTTCGGATCGGTTGTGCACACTTTTGACCCCACTTTTGTGCAGGGACTTGGCACACTTACCGCGCTGGCACACGAGCCCAGATTAGCCGGCGTGTTGTTGGCCGCCTCCCGTATGTACGTAATTGAATAGCGGCGTGTCCTGTTTTCATCTATTATTTAGAGGCCCGGGTTAATGAGTGAAAAATGAAAAGGCTCGTTAGCGATATGTTAATTAGCTGTGGATGTGTGGAGCAGGAGACGAGCGCGGAATGAGACCATCTGAAAAGGATTTTAGTATCTCTGCTTTGTCTAATGGAGTAACTTGTTCTTATAGTTTTGTCAATTCTATTTTTCTACGTCACAAAAATCAGTCAGCTGCACATTTTGAAATTATGCAAACTTCTAAGGAAGAGCCATGGAAGTCAAGAAATTTAGACTTTTGGCTCCACTCTCAACTCCCAGCCAATCCCAAAACTAGAAATGCTAATAATGAATTATAATAATGTGAATGATAACGTTTCATTTGTTATTGTACATAATCATATCCTGCACAGACTATACTCTTAACCTTTAACATGCTGCACACTTCTGTCTTTTGCACAATCTGAGTAATTCTATCCATGCCAAATGTCACATGTACTTTTCTCCTGTGTGAGATCAATACAATCTTTCTTATCTTATCTTATCTCAAATAATGCAAGGCTGGTTTTTTTGTATAGAATAATTCAAACACAAGTCAACTCAAAGTGCTGAACAAGACAAATATCCACTGTCTCTGTTTGAGAATGAGTTTTAACGTGTCAGCCATCCATCCATTTTCTTCTTCTTCATGCGTTGCTGGGTGGCGGGGGCAGCAGTCTGAGCAGAGATGCCCAGACTTCCCTCTCCAC